ACAGTTATACCGAGAAAGTTACGGGAAGTTGTGCTGCGTCAATCCCATGATAATTTAACAGGAGAACATCTTGGAGTTAAAAAACAAATAAGTCACCCACGGCAGAGATTTTACTGGATAGATATGAGGCAAGATGTGGGAGAATGGTGCAGGACCTGCAGTACATGTTGTGCTAAAAGGGGACCCAAGCATACGGGACGTGCTCCAATGAAGTCATATCAAGTTGGTACACCAATGGAATGAGTAGCCATTGACATTGCTGGTCCTTTGCCCCAAACTCGTGCTGGAAACAGGTACATTTGTGTGGTGATGGATTATTTCACCAAGTGGCCTGAGGCGTATACAATACCAAATCAGGAAGCTTCAACTGCAGCTTCGGCTATTAGTGATTTATTCTTCAGATTTGGTATGCCATACGAACTGCATTCAGATCAAGGCCGTAACTTTGAATCAGCTGTGTTCCAATAATGCTGCAAGTTGTTTGGCATACGAAAGACCAGGGCAACGCCACTTCACCCACAATCTGATGGTATGGTAGAAAAGTACAACTGGACACTAGGACAGGAACTGGCAAAGTTTTGTAATAGCCACCAAGATGACTGGGAAGTCTTACTCCCTCCACTGTTGGTGGCCTATAGGACAGCAGAGCATGAAGGCACTGGATACACTCCAGGAAAGTTGATGTTTGGTCGGGAACTTCGTTTGCCAGTGGACCTGATAACAGGATGCCCACCTTACGAAGAGTTTCCTGAAAATGTGTCAGAGTTCGTGAAAGTGTTATCTGAAAGGATGGGTGATATTCACCATCAAGTGCATTCAAACTTGAAAACGTCTGCTGATTCAATGAAGCTATGTTATGATAAGAAATCTACTGAAGTCAGCTTTGTACCAGGAGACAAGGTGTGGTTGTATTATCCCAGGAAGGCCAAAGAGAAGTCTCCTAAGTTGTTTTCTCCATGGAAAGGCCCATATGACATAGTGGATCGTTTCTCAGACGTGACTTTCCGAATAAAATGTGGTCGGCGAGGTTAGCTAACAGGCTTTGACATTATCACAGTCCAGGACATTTCAGTTGGAACAATGTGAACAATGGAACAGATGACTCTGCTGAAGACGTGTTATCTGAAAAAGCCACTGTCGAAAAAGAAACTCTACCAGGTTTTGAGGAGGGAAACAGTGAAGCCCTTAATGAAGTTACTACCACTGATGTGACTGTTACCAATAATAGGACATTTCCTGATGGAGCAGATAAACCCCATGTGAAGCAGAAGCCAACGAGATGGAGACCAGTACAGAAGAAGATACGTCCCGTAAAATTAAGAGACTTTGTGGAATTATAATTTTGTGTTTGTAAATTCTGTACATTTAATTAAGTTATTGTTAATTATCTATTGGTTTAATGTAAGTGGCTATTGTTCGGGACAAACAATACTAAGGAAGGGGCAGTGTTACGACAGCGGAAGTCATGTGACGCTGGTAACACATGATGAGATTCTAGAAGGATAGGGGAACCTCACGAATGTCCCAGCGTTTACTAGATGCCCTCTATTTTAGTATATAAGCCGGCAGATAAATTGATAACGGAGATAATCGAGTCAAGCCGTAAGTAAAGTGTGTAAATCATTGTGATCTAGCGTGTGTTTAAGTTAAAGTGACTGTAGAAACTCTGTGTATTGCAAAGTTGTATTGAGAAAGAATAAACTAGTTTTTTTAAGAAAGGACTTGTATTGCTGAAGTTCTTCAGAAAGAAATTTTACCGGAAATTAACAAACGACCAGAGACGTAACAATGGAAAGATTAAAGGTGAGCAGTGGAGGACTGCTAAATGTTGAGAATACATTTACGAGTAAACTTACGTTTTTTAGGTTGTTCCTGTTTTGTTTTTGTTTTTGTTTTCTTACAGATAAACAGCATTTATTATTGGAATTGTTAAATATTGAGCGACAAATGTCATTCAGTTGGGTTTTACTAGGTGCATGACGGGAGTGCTGTATGATTGTCTTTTTCATAAAGTCGTAGCTGGCCAACAAGAAAGATAACGAACTGCTATTTATTGAATAACTTAGCCAGTTTTATTGTTATTATCTACTTAGCCAGAAAATATCTGGACTCATCTCACAGCACTGAATTGGATAAAGATAGCCGAATACTATTAAGATCGTTATATGTCTCATGATCCTTTCCAGAATAGAACGTGGCTATGTCAAACTGCTGTGTCGTAAATTTTCCCTACAAAAATCAGTGGGTTTGGGGGGAAATCAAAGTCACACAACAGATAAATTCCATTGTATAGGTAACTGGTAGCATTTATGAAGTAATTCAGAATTATAATGAGAGCCTAAAGTATTTCAAATTTGTGAATAAATTATGTTTCTGAGTTTTGACTGAAAGTTAAATGTATCGTGTTTTAAGAACAATTTTAAGAGGTTAATTTCTGAAGTATGGAGTTTCATAAACGTGGAGTGTTCCAAAGACAATCACTTGTTGGGTTGGTGCGGGAGGAGAAGAAATTGTAAACGTTACATGTTCCGAGAACAACCATCTCTTGGTGCTTAAAGAGATGATATTGGTGAATGTGGCATGACCCGAGAATTGGCAAGGACTGTTAATATTCTGATGGACCTTTGAAATAATATCTCAATCAGCTTTCTTGTATTAATTATTAGATACAGGGTCGTATTGAATCCACCCTAATGTTTATCAGGCGCAAGGAAAACCAAAATGTGTAATATAACTTTGTACGTCAATCAATTCTGTTAGGCTTCTGTTTAATAAAATTATAAAATTAATTATTTATTCCAGATCCCATGCTTAACAATAAGATACTGCATTACAACAACTCAACCTTAAGCTTTTGTGGTTGTAGATTACGAAGGATGTTTGTCTGGGAAAATGCCATTATAAAAAGCTTTTGTTTGGGTGATTGGCCATTACTGAATTACAAATAACAAGGAATTATATATATTAATAGTTTACGTTATTAACTAAAGTTTTTAATTTGTTCTTTAAATGTAATGGTTTTTTTCTACAGCTAACTATTTTACTATATTACAGGGACTCGAATGACCGCACCGTTGCTGTTACTAATCCATCCAAAAGACTTGATCTGTCTCTCATTTTAGTGCCTTCCTCAGAGTTAGACCAGTAACGGAAAGTTGAGGATGATTCCAGCAACTAAACTTTAACCACTACTAGAAAAACTTCACTTTAACTTAAATCCTACTAATAAATCTTACACTTTTACAAGATGCCTTCATTAGCTCTCCACCACCACCAGTGGTTTAGCAAGATAGATTGGGGGGTTCTAACGCTAAATTCGGGGATTCGATCCCTGTGTTTTGTTTTTGAATTTCGCGCAAAGCTACACGAGGGCTATCTGCGCTAGCCGTCCCTAATTTAGC